TCACATCCTTCGTTACAGGAAATCCAGCTTCTGCGCAATACAAAATCCACCTCACGATGTCAGATTCGTCCTGCTTAAAAAAAAAATTGGAGAACCTTTCTTACATTCCAATGGTGTATAGTTATGAAATTTGGCAAACAGAGTGGATTTTGGAATGTTGAAACGATCAGAAGCAGCTTTTAAACTTGTTTCTTGGCCTATTGCATCAAGAGCATTTTTAATGCGTTCTACTCTGCATATTATTCCACTGATTTTTGTTTGTTTGATTTTTTCGGTAAAAGAGTTTTCTTTCCTCCCTTGGGTTTTTTCCCCCAGTTGTATTTATTTCAACACTTTTTTCCTTCAAACTATTGCTTTTTAATCGTCTAGTTTTTGCCATTTTTGACAAACTTTTGTTTACCTACATTGAGAATAAAAGTAGTTGAGTGTTAATAAACATTATAATTTGACGATATTACAAATAATTCTATTGCTTAAGCATACTTACTTTATGTCAGTTACTGTAAAACAGCAGTCTTAAAATCACCTTATAGGTTGTACATTTTACATGCTTTTCTTAACAGATTCACGAACTGCCGATTCGATTTTGTTTTCCTCCATACACTGCAATGAGCGTTTCATTCTCATACACAACTATTAATAACAATTTAATATCAATTAAGGGAGTATTAAACAAAAAATCTTAATTGATGTGTATCCGTAAAGGTCTGTCCCGTTACTGCTCAAAACAAGAAATCTTAAATAGGTACATTGGACGGCGTGTCGACGTCTGTCCTGATTTAGTCTAATGAATTTAACTCCATAAGGTTAATCGGGACATGCATTTTTAAAATATCTACATTATTTTAATCGTTATTTTTACTCTCAGCACCCCCTTACGATGCATACTGATCGTTCAAAGCAACTTTTTGAATGATTTGAAGTGAAACAATGGATTTTTTAACGTAAACAGTAAGGTTTAGATTTTCACAAATCAGGGCATGCAATAGTCTAATTGTGCAACTGTTTTCATACCGCTATCTATTTGTCAATTTTTTGCATTAAATTATTTATTTACAGTAACTTTTTCTTATCAATTTTTATTGTAGTAACTTACTTTGACTTCCACAATTTTTGTTATTATTTTCTATTAACTTAGTTTCATTGATTTATACGTTTTACCGTAAGTGTCCCGATTTACCTTAATATTGTTCGATGTCCCGAGATACCTGAATTTACCTTATTTTGAAGGTAAATATAAACTCAAAACCGGTTGAACAGTGGTTTTTTCTTTTTACCAGAAACATGAGTCCGTGGAAAAACATGGAAAAGGTCCACGACGAAAAACAGATGAAAGAGATCGTATAATTGATGGTCGAGTATTTCGTGTCAACAAATCGCATTCTGCAACTAAAAGGTTTGTAATATTGATTATTACTTATTTAATATATACTTTCAAAATTTTGTAAATAACGTTGCATAAGCTGGCGGTTCTCATGTCAAACGGCATACATTATCAAGTCTGCATATATTCACTGTATCACAAATATTTTTGACTCCTGTAAACCTAACTTTACCTTGCTGTTTATATAAATAATACCAAAATGTACGAAAACCAACATATTTTTGGTGGTACTTTTCCATTAGACCTTGATAAATAAAAAATATACATTTATATATATGAGGCATTTCACGTCAAATCGCACAGGCTGCGCGCGAGACCACTTTTCATGCTTTGATTACAGTATCAAATTAATGAGGAAGATAAATCGGAGTAAGCATTTCCGACGTATTTTAACCTCAGCTTTTCAATTAAATTATTAAAATTACAAAAAAAAGTCAACATAACCTCAAAAAAATATAAAACATATTATATCTTCAAAAGGGTGTCTTGAATCTTTTTTTTTTATTATCTAAAACGAAAGAGGAGGTTTTTTACGTTGGTATAGTGATTTTCAGAGTGTCCACTATAACATTTTTCGAGAAATCTAATGTCAAAGTCTATGCTCTCGTGCCGCCGCGACGGACGGCCTGGCGGCGGACGTAGCGCCACATTCGTACTATATCTTACGTTTGAAAACAACGCAATATTCCTAATAAATTTTTTATAATAAAATAAAGTATTGACATGTTTACATAATAATAAACAATTTGTATTTATTTAAACTTAAATTTAAACTTTAATACTGTACACTATGCAATATATTATTGTATCGCATAAAAACAATTAAATATTTTTCTTTACCTTTGCAGCTTTCTTGAAAGTAGATTTATTAATTTTTGGATTGGAAATTTTCGGAAATATTTGAAATATTGAACTTAAAGATGTATGACGCAGCTTAAATGTGTTTTCATCAAGAGGGATGAATGCGTGATATCGAAGAGTTCCTGGTATCATTTTAGCCTTATCAATCCTTTCTTTCAATTTCAAAGCACTATTATTGATATGTCTAAATAATTATTGTGAAAAATAATACTGTATTAACATAAACTAATAATTTAAGGCTAAAGAAGCAAACTTCTGAGTTCAGTGGGTTACAAATTGCTATATATAGTACGCATGCAGCGCCGCACCGCGCCCCACCGGCCAGGCCGTCCGTCGCGGCGGCACGAGAGCATAGACTTTGACGTTAGATTTCTCGAATAATGTAATAGTGGACACTCTGAAAATCACTATACCAACGTAAAAAAACCTCCTCTTTCGTTTTAAATAATAAAAAAAAATGTTCGAGACACCCTTTTGAAGATATAACATGTTTTATATTTTTTTGAGGTTATGTTGACTTTTTTTTGTAATTTTAATAATTTCATTGAAAAGCTAAGGTTAAAATACGTCGGAAATGCTTACTCCGATTTATCTTCCTCATTAATTTGATACTGTAATCAAAGCATGAAAAGTGGTCTCGCGCGCAGCCTGTGCGATTTGACGTGAAATGCCTCATATATATATATATTTTTTATACATTGCGTACACTAACTCGGTTGCCGAAAATATATCTATTTTGGCATTTTTGGTATTTGTTATACATACAGCTTGGTTACGTGGGGGCTAAGAATAATTCTAAATATTCAATATTTTTTTATTCTTAACATTGCTAAATTAAGTTCTATCGCTGAAAATGTGAATTATTACATTTTCTGGACTCTAAATGTACATAACTGATAGAGGTTATGATTATGCACAGACACACTTTTGTTATAGTAGAATAAGTTTACTAGAAATATACATTTTTTCTCATTTTTATCACTGACGAATGGATAAGTATCGCCGAAAATATGTGAATTTTTGCACATTTTGATATTTCCAATATTTACAGCTGGGTGAGATTTGGTTTACGGGGGTCTAAAATTTTTCAGATAGTGTAGTTATATGTACACTTAATAATGTTTGTCATTTCTTATGAGAAGTACCGGCATTTGTTAGGCTGTCGTATGATCAGTTGCAAGATCCCACCCCCCTTTTATGTAGTAATTATTTTAAAAAATTTTTAAAACCACAACTGCAAAATTTAACATTTGTGTAAATATTTTTATTACTACGCTCGCAAACGAAAAGTAGTCAGTATGAAGCATGTTTTTTTTTTTTTTTTTTTTTTTTTTTTTATTGATTAATATTTTTTTTCATAGATTCTTGATATGCAGTACCAATAATTGTTATGCGAAAGGAGAACAAAATTTGATTGATGATTTGTGGGTTGCCACCGCTCGTGATGGCTCCAAACATGCTAAGCATTGCTTGAGTTCAAAATTTAAGATACTAAAAGCAGAATTTGAGACGGCACTCAAAGATGCCTTGTACAGCAATTATTATGATCTTCGAAAACTATATGACTCTACAGTACTTTTGTGAGTAAATAATGCAGTTTAAAAATATAAAACCTGTTCTTTTCTTCTTTGTATAATTCTTTTTTGTATAAGTTTTTCTAATACAATTAAGTTGCTTGTAAGTACAAACAAACTCTTGCAAGTTTGTATTTATGTGATGGTTATTTGATTGTAAAATATAAACGACGCTTAAGCACAACAGAATTGTGTGATTTTCAAACATAAATATCTTTATTTTTAAGGGACTTCATCGTTTAGTGATATGTCAAACAAGGGCCCTTAAAAGCTCTTTATCTAATAAAAATAAATTTCTACTATAATAATTGTTTTCTATCGACCCATTTTAAATGAAAACGGTTTAAATTTTTCAAAAAGAATATGTGAATTATTCATTTAAGAATCAGTAATAAAGACATTATCTACGGATCCGCAGACATAAAAATATATACCATGCAATATATATGCAATTTCTTTGTTGCTATTGAATGTACATTAATTAAATTAGAAAACAATTACAAAATTAAAAACGTAAATTTTTTGATACCTCAATATATTAGTAAATAATGACGAAGCCACCTTAACGCATTCTTGCAACTATGCACAGCTTAAAGGTTTTTCTTATATATTGTAATTTAGACGTAAATCACATTAGAGTTTTTTACAAAAGTTCTATTTCAAAGTATAAGTTTCAGAGCCCTGCAAAATTTAAAATAATGAATGATAAATAGAAATGTATGCTGTTAGATGGTATTTAATTATGGTTTCTTTAAATTTTCGAAAATTGTCACTTAATAATTGTTCTATGTAACTTTTTCTAGACGTTTTTAAATAATCAATCGTTTCCCGATCATGGGATATAGATTAACTTACGTTCTCGTATCGTTTCTTTGGTGATTATTTAGGTATCCAGGAGTAGAAACTAAAATCTCCTATCATGACATAAGACCAAAAATGGTTCAATGGAGAAAACATGTGTTCCCTCCTAATCCAGAAAGCATTAAAAAGTTTGCGGAACAATTACTAAATCCTGATAATTCAACACTTCTTCAGGGTTTACAAGCTGAACATAAGGCTTACAGTATTTTTGATGCAGATGGTGAAGAGCATATAATTTTCTATGACAGTCGGTTAATAGAGACTGAGTTTTCGTCCGTAACAAAAATTATAGTGGATGGCACATTCCAAACACCGGACATTAAGAAAGCAAAGTTTCAACAGTTGTTTACTATTATGGGAGTTAAGGCTGGTCATGTAAGTGGTGTTTGGGATAAATATATACTAATCTGATTTTACGATAAAACCTAATAAAGTACATTACTACATAAATTCTTACACCAAGTAATGGCTTTCTTGTAGTTAAAAAGAAATCTATGACGTACATATTAGCAAAACATGTTTCATGTGATTTTCCTATAAGATTAATAATGAAAAAAAAATGTCACTAAAATCACAAATAATTTAAGTGAATCTCATCAATTAGGAAGGAACTTTATATTTCTATACACTGATTTTACAGTGCTGGCTTCCAACGTATATGCATCGCACACTAATATAAAGAACATTTCTTGACCCTTCACACGTGTTTCCTATGATATTTTCACTGTTGGTACGGAAAAATACAAATGCCTATAACGCATTTTTTCAATAGGTCATTGCAAAAAATCTGTTAGATCCCGAAAAAATAGAAATCGTTTTATCAGATCTTGAGACTGCCATCCGGAATGCTGCACATATTAATTTTCCAACAGCCCGCTGTGTTGGTTGTAATGTACACCTGGATAGAGTACGTATTTTTTACTGAAAAATAAGATTATATAATATAAGATTATGAATATAACGCTTTTATTTACTACAATTCTATTAGGTTAATATTTAATTTAGGAATAGGAATTCAAAATCTAAAAGTTGTGGCTTAACCATAACACATGGTTATTATAAATGAGTTGATAAATATTTATGAGAATTTGAAATGCGCTCTCACAGAGATCCTCAGTAGGGAGGGTGGTACTCAACTAAAAAGCCACCTTTACCATCTTTGAATTTGTTTTGTCATACATGTAATCGGTAATATACTTTCTAGGCAGTCTACAAAGAATTGCACAGCCTAAAGCTTCGTCCCTATTTACAAAAAAATGAAGACGCAGAAACTTTTGTGAAGAAACTTTTACTCCTAGCTTACATACCACCTGAGTATGTCATGAAAGAATGTGCAGAGCTCATTAATCAATTAAACATAAAACATAAAATAAAATTAAAAACTTTTATTAAATATTTCAACGACTTTTGGATAAAAAATGTTGGCCCACAAGGATTTTCCGTGTTTGGTATATTACTGCGAACTATAAATGCTATCGAGGCATTTCACAGTGAAATATTGCGCGAATTAAAAGTCCATTCCAAACCTTGGGCGTTTCAACGTGAGTCACATACGTAATTTATATTCTGTTGAATCGTCACAATTTTGTATGTGCCCTGTATTTTCATCCAACATTATTTTACGTTTAACCACTTTTTTTACTATTTTTCTTGTGACACTGCTATGATACATTATTCTCTTATCTAGGTGGACTTGTTAACATAACAGATGGTGTATATAAGAATATACAATTGTTAAGAAATGGTAGTAGAATAAGCAGAAATCCAAGATACTCAACAACACAGAAGCAGCAAACAGTAATAAAAGGTATGAGTTCGTTAACGATCTAGATTGTTGTATGAACAAAAAATTATTTTGAATCAACAGAAAAACCAGTAAATGTTATTTATAACACTGATTTCTATCTTAACTGTAGTGTGGGCTCAATATGGCCGAAAAGAAATAACAGTCTCCGATATTCTAGAACTATTATTATCATTTAAAGGTAAAATAAATGCCAGAATCCAAAAAGAAGATGAAGAGTGCTATTGCACTAACTGTTCAGATGTCAACGAGGTAGCAGCGAAAGATGGGTCGGAATGCAATCGAAGATCTAACCAGCATCCTTCATTGCCGAACAATATAAACTTTAATTACCTTGAAGGTTTGTATAATTTTTAATTCGTTAAACAACTGATTGCAGGTCATCGTTCGTACGAAACAAGTTTTATAATATTTGAAGCAATCAAATACTTTGAAAAACAATCGATCCCTGAGAATTAACAGCACAGGCAAAACGGTGAGACTTCAACGGTCACTCCATCCAAGTACTAACCACGCCAAATGCTGCTTAACCTCGGAGACCGACAAAACTGCAAATTTACCGCTCGGCCGCCGCGTTCAACCCTACATAGATGAACTGATTTACATGTCAGACATTGATATCTACAATTGTATTGATTTGCTTTTTTGTCAAATTACTCAATGCATAATTTAGATTCTTCACAATATCTTACTAAATACTGACCCTTTCTGTTTAATAAATCTTAATACCTTCAGAGTTCGATGAAGTTTCAATTATAGACAAATAATGATATTAATCATTAGGAATTGATAATTTTTACATTTTGTAAGTAATGCAAAATTTGAATTTACGACCATCCATTTTGAAACTGTTTCTGCAGCTACTTATTATAAACATTATTTTGAAAAATCACAATCTCAACTACAAAGAAAACGCTGAATAAACATTCCATCACAGAGACATAAACGTTTTGCAAAAATTGAATTTTTTTTGTAGATCCAGAATTCGATGAGAGTTTAAAAATGCTCTTATTAAATATGAATGATATCAGTCCTCAAGAAAAACCAGAATATATTACAGCGGAAGAAATAGATGTACTTGTGGATGATATTCCCTCGTCAGTTAATGGTTGTAATGATGAATCCAATGGTGAACTCCAACCGATTCATAACAGTTCAGAACCACATACGCCTAATGAAAATCAACCCTTCAATGAGAATATGGAACCATTCACGCAGAATGTCATTGAACCGAATCTGTGTAAGTAAGGTTTTACAGGTACCAAGTATGTTAGTATGCATACATATACAGTAGTATACCAGAAATACTAAACAAATTTTCAGTATGCGATCAAATTCTACCAGAAAAAATATTGTGATAGTGTAACAATCATTGAAGTACGAGTACTTTATTTTATATATGTATATGTTGTAGTGGGGCTTCGGTTACTTGCGAGCTCTGTCAAATCCCCTACTAGCTAATGATTATCCCTCTGGCAGATTCTTGTATAAATACGTTTACGAAAATTTTGTTTTTTAATCTGTCTATCGCTACAAAAGAGTTTCGATCGTTTACAGTCAATATTAACATTTGGAATTATTTTATCTAAAAATGATAAGGAGTTCCTTAAAAACTTAACGCGCTAAAGAAGGATCTCCTGGGAGGTCTGACGGGTAATTGAAAGGAAATCCTATCTAATAATAAAATCCCAGTGGGTATGTAGTATTGAAGTGTGTGTGTGTGTGTGTAGGTGGGTGGGTGGATGGGTGTATAAATATGTATATTGCTACTAACAAACTTGTACCTGTACTTTTAAGTGTAATGAAGTGACGCAATATAATAACTTATTTCTGTAAATAAACAATCGCAGTGAGAAGTAACAATGATGTTAATGAGAAAGGTTATCACGGTGAACAAACTGGTCTCACTGAACTTGACAAAACGTTGAAGCAATTACTGCCTGCAGAATTAAGTTTACCGATTGATGACAATGATTATGAAGAAAGTCATTGTATCGAGAGTAAAGTTTGTAATGACATCAATTCAAACACTAATGCTCATAATGCGAGCTATCATTCGGATAATGACATATTTAATACAAGTGATACTGAAAATCTGAGTGGTTATTGCAATCTTTGAGAATAAAGTTACCTTATAATATAAATTATTTTAATTGTACTTTAAAAATCATGTTTATATAACGTTATACATACGCAATATTTTCCGATATTTTCAGGTGATGATCGCGATACCAATATGAATGATAAAAGTGATGATTTTCCTTTGCGTCAACCAACAATGTCAAGTGCAGAAAACAAACAACGTATCCACAAAGAGTACAATAGAATTAATCGTCAAAGTAACCAGAAACATAACTTCATTAATCATGATCATGATCAGTCTTCATTAACTAAAAAGAACTTAAACTTTCAACGATTGAGCTGCAATACTGACCGTAAGTAGTGAACTGTAACTGAGTGCTACTTTTATAATAATTGATACAATGCATCACATAAGTAAGTCTTTGAAACTAAGCAAAATCCTTATGACAGTAAACCTAGAGAAATTTTTTTTTTTCATCCTAAATTTATTACGTACAATTAGCTTTCTAACATTTCCAATAATCCATTTTTTGTAACTTTATTTAATATTATTTTATAAATATTTGTCATCTATCAGCCTACGTCGCCTACACAGTAAACTTAACTGATAAAAAAAAAAAAAAAAAAAAAATCAGTTGAAACATAGTTTTTCACAACGATTGACATTTGTAGGTATTGTTGAACTGTTTGTAAAACTATATGTTGACAAAAAAAAATTTTTAAAATGTATAATTTATCCAAGGTTATTAAAAGTGTTTCACTTAAATTGTACCACTATCTTCTACAGAAAAAAATTTATTTTACGTTCCCAGAGCTTGTTTTAACCTTTACTTATACAAACAGTGAGAAATAATATTGAAATACGCACTTACTGGATATATACCGCGACCCCTCAGTGTGTTCTCGCTTATATTATCTCGTTGAGGCCAATCACATAGTGACATGCAGCATCCCTTTAATGCTCCTTTCAGCTTGAAAGCGTTTGTAGCACATACCAGTGTCTTCTTCCCTCTCATCGCTTTTGTGAGTCGCTTCCAAGTACTTCATTTTTGTCCACAACGTTTCTAGCTCTGTTTTCCAACTTTCTTTTTAACTCTCTCATCCTCTTTTTTTCTTTTCACTACAATAAGATACAATTTTCAAGAAAAATTTTATATGATTGATCGCCTATTTTTTTATATAATGGTTAGACGTACCTACAGACATCATAATTGTTGAGTTGCATCTCACAACACAATGTAATAATATATCACCATAATATTATTACTTTGTATTCAACTTATATATTAACTTTTGTAAAATGTCATGCAGTTTATGAAACTTTGGCATAAATCAACTTACGTCATCATATATTGTGAGTGTCTTTAGTTTTTTGCTGACCTCTCAGGCTTTTTCACATATATATTTTTTTACTTTTTCATTATCAGTATTTCGATTTTTTTTATATCACTTTGTAATAACGTATCAGCTGTGTTACCTCTTCTTGTTTTTGCCAGCATCTTTACCAGACTTATAACTTTTTAGAGTCAAAGCTTTTCTAAGCTTTATTTCTTACGTTTTATCTCGTACCTCTCAGTTTACACCCACACTGTAGCACATTTCATACAGCTCCACACAAAATGTGGAACGGTTAGTCCAATTTCTGAAACTATGTGAACTAAAACGTATGTTTGAAATATACACAAAAATACATAGCACGGTAGTAGATCTAATTATTTTTATGCAGTTACACAGGACTACTAATAATTTTTTTTAGCTCATATTAATATACGGCTACACAAAAAGTAAGTAGTGATAATGCAGACATGTGCATTTCCAAGCAACTTTGTCAAGAATCCAGAAAATTTGAATTTCTACGTGTCCAGACAATACAACCGAGTGACTTATAATCCAAACTTTGATCGTCATTTCACCAATTTACAGTCCTGTGAGTAAAACCTAATAAACGTGGTGTCTATAATTTTCTTATATTTTTGAGTTAGAATTAACTTGGCATCTTTCGATTGTCAATATTAAAATTAATACCGTTTAACCGTAATTAAGTAACATTCTTATGTTTTTGCTATAAAAATATAGTAAATGTACTGTAAAAAAGTACTGATCTATTGAGTATACTTATTGAAAAAAAAAAATTTAATCAGGACACAGAAGTACCTAAAAAACTTGAGTTTGCACATATTAAACAATTTACTAGTTTCATAAACTTTGTGATAAGCTCAATTAGAAGATATAAGTAATACTCGAATAAATTTTGCAGATGAATTGATGGTAGTAAATAGTGTGATTTAAGTGCTATCTGATTTAAACATTCTAAAATATGTTATATTTTAGCTGGCAATGTAGAGGATGCAATACATGAAAAATCGGGAATCAACGAACTTGAATCAATTGAAGATAATTTTTTGGTAACATCACATAGTAACAGTATCAATTTTAGCCTTAACTTGGATAGTAGCTTTCCGCAATGGGACAATATTCTACAAGAAAATAATTCATTTTGCTATAATCGATTCGACAGTTATGAAGACCGTAAGTACTCACTGCGATCGTTGCAACATACTTTAAAGTACAACAAAGAAATAGTGAAATGTGAGTACATTTTACTACTCTTAGTGTTATTTCCAAGGATGTTTTGTATATAATGTTAAACGGTATTAACAAATATTATTTTGTTCCACTTGCAATACGTACATTAAAAATCGATGCCAATAAATTGGCACGAGGCTTCTTCAATCCAATTTTTGATTTGTTTATTTATTTTTTCATTTTTTTTCATTTGACATTGTTGTAATGTTTCTCCAATTATTATAACATGACATCCCAATGTATGCTTGAGAATACTTATTGAAAATGTAAAACGCATGCGCGGGTAGTGATGAAAATTTTTCAATTATTATCAAACTCGTAAAGTACTTTTTCTGTAGTACAATAATGTAGTACTATTAAATATTAACATATAATTCTAACAAATATTATAAATGTATATGTAAGTGTTATGTATAATGTGTGTTTAACTCCCTTCACTTTTTTATGATTAAAATTAGTTTTCTAATTTTCAGAAAGTAACTCATTACGCTTGTATAAACAACCGTTTTTTAAAATTATATATTCTGTCAACGATAAGGTCAAAATGTTTAAATAACAATTTTTTTTTTTTGTTAAATTTTCCCTCTATGAAAGATCAAAAGTAAAAGTAACTTGTGAGTTTCAGTAAAATTTTTCATTTTTGCCAAGTTAAAGAAAACCATGCATCTACATTCTCATTCCTTTTAAGTTATGTGCTTGATACTTGACTACAATTACAACGGTGTGAAAGCTTACGAGGTTGTACCAATCTATTGTACTTTACATAAATAGTTATAACTATTATTTCATATTGACTGAAATTGACACTGGTTTTTGTATATTTACTCATAAAACAAGTATTAGACAAAAATATGACAAAGAATTAAATTTTTTTGTAGTAAATTATTAATATTTATGAATAGATATTTTTAACCTACAGATTCAGAAAATTAAGTCCCAGATTCTGACGAGGAGGGTGTCAGTGAGGTAAAAATCTCAGAGAGCAATAAAAAATTTCTGCTACTGATACCTGAATCAGATCCATCAGATGATGACATGTCTCATCATAATTCCACTCATGGCTTGAAAAATGGTAGGTGTTTAAACGTTTGATTTTATAAGATAACATAAGTCATATCAAGAATATCCTTTTTACTGTAAGACAAAGATGTCTAGGAATACAATATGTCATCAGATATGAAGTATATTTGAATTCTGTTTTACACGTCTTGACAAGGAGTATATTATGCGTTAAGTACTGTGCCTATATTAGCGAAATAGCTAAGTAAAAGTGTATGAGAATATAAATACAAATATTAAGCATGTCGTTCATCAACAAGTATTTTTATGTTTTTATGTTGATTTCTCGATGTCTTACCTATTAATTGGTTAGCTGAATATTTTGTTCAAAAATTTTTCGTGACAGAATCAGTAACAGTTGAGAATAACTATAATTATAAGTAACATTGATCAAACCATGTGGTGTAACCACGTAGGGTTTCAAATTTTTATTTTACAGCGTATTTAAAAGCGCATATGTATACAGATAATACAAAAGTAAACCAACTTAAAAAATATTGTGACTTGAAATTTCGAATTCATTAATCAACAGTGAATAAAATAAAACAATTTATCTTACTCTTAAATAAGGATAGATATAAATATAGAATTAACATAATGTAAATTAAAAAATAGTAGTATATAATATGCCTAATAAAAATAAAACTTTTTGCAGATGAAGCTTTTATCAATGCTATAATCAAAAAAATAAAAAGAAAAAAAAAGAGAAAGCATTAGAAGAGACCAGGGAACGCTAAAAGACGTCGTTTATACCAAGAAAAATTAAGTTTAGAGTTCCAATCATCAAAATTTTAATATATTGGCGTCCACTGCAAGGTAAGAAAATTTTTCATGCGTTAGTGTATTTATTAGCACGAAAGTTTGATAGTTGTATTGTATATTTTAAAATAATAATGTTATAAGTAATTAAACACAATGATTACATAGTTCTAAATAAACTCTACTATGACACATCATTTTTTTAATTCATATGTAATTAGTAATTTAATAACTTAGTGAAAAAGTAATAGTAAATTTGTAATTTCTATCAAATGAACTATCGTGCTAATAGTATACGTGAAAATTTCTTACTTGTATAAAACAATACAAAGAATTACATTAGAAAAATTTCTGACTATTACTATTAATTTGTGATACACCGTTCGTATTCGTGCTACATGGAAAATGTACTTACAAGTTTAGAAACTCTTAAAGTAAATTTTTCGGTTTTGCTATTCACGATTTCCAAATAACTTATAGTTGTCGTTTCGTGTTCAATAAAACAAAATTATCAGGTTTTGCAAATATGCGTAACTTTTTCCAAATGAAAATATCAATTACCAAAAATTTTCTACGTTATTCTAACCCAAAATTTTGATTAATAAATATTTTAGAAAAGTTAGTTACTATTTAAACTAGTTGTGTTTGAGTGCAGTTAATACATAATAATTTCGACAGTACTACTATTCGCAACTTAAGGTAAACGTTTATTTACTCTTCGGCTTTGAAAAAGCTTGAAAAAAATTGTTGAATTATCAAAAAAAATCTGTAAACTTAACACTAGTAAAAATTCTAAAGAAATTTATGTTCATTATTTTCGTCGGAAATTTTATAGTTTGTATGAAAATTTTAATATAACTAATTCAAATTTTTTTGACGCTAAAAAAAATTTTTGATACACATTTTCTACCATGTAGTAACATTAGTTTTTTAAAACAAAATCCAATTTTAAGAAATAACAATTTTTTATTTACAATACTTCGAATATTGATAGTGTAGTTAATATCTTGAAATTACGTATTTTAGTTACAAAACAAATGTAACATTAAGTAGATAATGTCACAAAAATTTACAATTTTTATAAAACATCTAAAAACAGTTAATTTTTTTATTATATCAAAAAATTTAATTTGCCTGTCGCGTATGTAACTACCTTGAATACAATTTTTAAGTCAGCAAATAACATGAGATGTAGGCCTAAGCTCGCGCTAAATAGTTTGGAATCTACCCATGGTCCAATGTGGACCATATGGTGCGCCGATCGTCATGAGCTCAATGGAGATAAAGCAATAACAGAACATTACTGCAAATGTTAATAGAACAAAGATTATTATAATAAGTTTGCACAGCTCCTCGGTAGCTCAAGTGGTAGAGCAACTGTCTAGTAAACAGGAGGTTGTGTGTTCGATCCACACCCGGGGAGGATTTTTTCTCGTTGTTAATTATTTCTCCAAAGGAAAATTTCTTGAAAAAGAATTTACGTGGATTTGTATTATCAAGTATTTTCTATATCTTATATATTGAGAAAGGGCATGTATGGATGGTAATAGAGAGTGCTTGTATGAAGAGTACNGTGAATGGGGTATCCCGAGTTTTCTTTTTCTCTCGCGATGCATGGACGAGGATTTTCAACGCCAGATGGTGGATGGAAGGAATCATTTTCCTGGATTTTTGTTGCACCCGCCAATCGAAATTTTTTCCAAATGAAAATCCATCGTGTAATATGTATATATCTTGGAAAAAATCGCGTGATCCCTGCACAATGTGTATACGATTCTCTCGAGGACCACGTAGTCATGTAGTTAGCACGTACGTACCGTTGCATAGCCTCTCATACATATATATATATATTCCCGCGGTCGTCGGTGGGTGACTCCTGCACTCGCGGAATACAGAATCCACTGAAAATTCCAGGTGGCAAGGGGGAGTGGCGCAACTCGGATGTTTGCGAGCTGACGCAACCCGAAACTCGGGGTTGTATGTGCATATATACGCTGTATATGGACACGGCCAGGCAGGGGCTACAAAGTGGAAAATGAAAGAGCCGAGTTTGCTTTATTTTTCACGCTGCTACAGCAACATCGCACTTTCTTGTGTTTGCGAGCCTTTTTTTCTTTCTTTTCCCTCCACACGGCTCTTTTCTCGTGACATATTTTCCACCCCCGTTTGTCCCTTCTTGTGCTACAGGGTGCTTTTTTTCTTTTTTTTTGTTGAATTATTACTCTACTTTTTTATTTAATCATTAAAAGCACTGCTACCTACTTTAACTATGTTGATTGACATATGGGCCGTACTTTCTCTATTTTCCTTTTTAGAAAACGTGTAAGCCTACTCTGTATTAACAATTGAACACACAAAAACCTAGTATTTTGACAAAAGCTTGGGCTGAAACAATAGTAAATACATCTTTATGTTTAGTATTAAAAAAAACTTCTGCATTTGTTAGTGTGCGCAATAGTAAGTACGAATTGTCATTCTATACAAACAGATTATGAATCCAATGAGTCATCACACAATCGATGATGTGCAATTACCAAAAATGGAAAAAAATACGTGAATGCCCCCTTCGTGATTTTAGTTTTGTGATAGTCCAGTACCTTAGAGAGCCTTGGGCTGTAACAAATAATGTGGCAGTCCAGCATCTTATAGAAGCTTGGGCTAAAGCAAATTATGTGGCAGTCCAGCATCTTATAGAAGCTTGGGCTGAAGCAAATTATGTAGCAGTCCAGCATCTTATAGAAGCTTGGGCTCAAGCGAAATTTGTGGCAGTCCAGCATTTTATAGAAGCTTGGGCTACAGCGAAATTTGTGGCAGTCCAGCATCTTATAGAAGCTTGGGCTGAAGCAAATTATGTGGCAGTCCAGCATCTTATAGAAGCTTAGGCTAAAGAAAAATTTGTGGTAGTCCAGCATCTTATAGAAGCCTGGGCTGAAGCAAAAGAGACTATGAATGTTTTGATCACTGTCCCATAAGGTATCTCATTTACAATCGTTTTCAATGAGTTGTCGGTACACTACATGTATTCAGAAGTTAAAGTCTCGCGTAGGATTTTTTATGAAAAGTTTATTAACTGTAACGTGGACGAGGGAATAACTAAAGATATACAGAAGTCCAATATTTAAGACGGAGGCTTGGGCAATCTATTTTTTTGCATGCCTTGGAAGTATGTGTACGTAAAATGAAATTGCAAAATGCAACAGCAAAAATTTGAGAGGTAAAATGGTGGAAAGACATGTTGCCCATGTGCTGTCTGTGTATAAAAAACACTTATAAGAATTAAAAATGAGCAATGTTTTGTGTGTTTAAGTTTTTGTTAATATTTTTGATTATTTTCGATAGACAGACAATTGAAAAAAAAATTCCTTTCGATAGGTGTCTCTTAACAACCTACATGAGGTAACATTTTTTTAAAAATAGTGCATGCCGTTTTCAAGATATTCAATGGAACGTTTGATTTTGAATCACAGTACCTACAGCTCCTGCATCAGAAACCTGATTGAGACATGTTTTTGAAACTCTACAGTTAAATATACATAAGTTTCACAACTTTTGTAAACAAATTTCTATATCGACGAAACCACTTTAATTGACTGAAAAGTCGTAGAGAAACATAATTAATATCTTCTGATTATATTTTAGTAAAAAAGAGTATTCTTTATATCGTATGAGTAGATAAACTTAAAAATATAGATAAATTCTTTTAATTAATATAACTGTACTCATTATGCGTAAGACTTTCATTGACATATTCGTCGAATACTTTTGTTTTATTGCTTGCAGGTTTTATTGACTAACTGTCAAATAATAAAATAAATTACTACAACTGTATGTATATAATAGTAGCCGTTATGTTTGTACTAATGCTTTTGAGTATGTGCCAGATTTGTATGACACGCACTATCATTAGAATTCGGCAGATGTACTACTTTGTAAAACAAATTTTAATATTGGTGTAAAGTTATATGAACGCGGACAAAACAGTGTTGTATTTGCGATTAAAGTAAACCGTCTGACAAAACTCTGAAAGTACTAATTTTGTCAAACTTTTGTAGTTCTTTAAAGTTGCACAGTGTACGAGAAATTTTAATTACTTCAGTTTTCATGGATTTGGTTATTGTAGTTACATTTCTAAAGAGTTATATTAATTGAACAAAATGTAGCAGGATTATGCAGTAAATTTTATTTATTTGTCAAACTTGTGTGATTTGGTATTAAAAAATTGTAGTAGG